GCTGAGCATGGTGCTGACAACACCAAGCCAAGGGTTGAGATCCCCTTACTGGTCATCTTTTGGGGAAAAAAAAAAAAAAAGAAAGTGATGTCACTGAACCCAAGAAAGGAGAGGGTGGATGGTGGTGTCAAGTGCTTTCTCAGGGTAAGTTTCCCAAATATCCATCCACTCCCACAGCTTTTTCTCTGTTTCTCATACCTTATCTCCATTTGCTCAAAGGGCAGCTCCAGTTGGGTGTTTGTCCCCTCAAACTCAACATGAGCAGAGCAAATATTAATCCTTTCCTTATTCCATCTTTAAATCATTTTCCTTCCTGTGAGTGCTACCTGCAATATTCCAGGCTCCCAGACTACAATGTTGGAGTCATCTTTGTCTCTTCTCTTTTGGCCCTGATAGCTCTTTCTATTCTTTTTTTTTTTTTTTTTTAAAGATGACCGGTAAGGGGATCTCAACCCTTGACTTGGTGTTGTCAGCACCCCGCTCAGCCAGTGAGCGAACCGGCCATCCTTATATAGGAATCCGAACCCGTGGCATTGGTGTTGTCAGCACCGCACTCTCCCGAGTGAGCCACGGGCCGGCCCNTTATATAGGGATTCGAACCCGTGGCATTGGTGTTGTCAGCACCGCACTCTCCCGAGTGAGCCACGGGCCGGCCCTAGCTCTTTCTATTCTTGGTTCCCCTGATTTCATTCTTCCCCATATCTCTGGATCCTTCTCCCTTCCCCCACTCACTTCCTCACTTTGCCCATCATGGCAGCAGCCCTCTACTTGAAAGTGTTAATGACCTAGATCACAACAATAGCCACATTACTCTCTCCCTATCCCTACTTCTCTAATAGTCCAATCATTTTCAATTTATTTCTCTTAAAGGATTTTTCCAGAGCCACTTGCTAAGCCACATAATTATTCTTCAAGGATGTACCTCATTGCCTATCCCCCCAGCCAACATCTCCTCAGCCTGGTTGGAAGATATTTTGAAAAGTAAAACCTGCTCTTAAAAGGAAAATGATTGTCTTACTCGGGGATGTCCAGAAGACTGTGACACAAACTTCGTTTTGAGCACTAGAGCACATGTTTTATTTCTCAAGACTGCATTAAAAGGGGCAAAACGGATGTGGTAATGCAGGCTGTCATATGTTTCTTTTAAAGAAGTTACCTTACTCTATATATAGATGCACCTCAAATAATTGGTACCATGAGATATGGCCTTTCCACGTGGTCTCATTGTTTGTGTATTTCAGCCTTGTCTTGGGCCAAATCCTGATTTTCTTTTGCATACACATGGAATCTATTGATTTCTGCAATCAGCAGTTCCCTAAGGCTAAATGGGCTATTGAAAAGGATTATGTTACAGTTAGGTTCCAAAGACAATTCAGAAATGAAAGCAAAACTTTTGACAGAATGGCTCACAAATTAGACATTTTCTTTTTCTTTTTTCTTTTACAGCTGGACTGAAAGTATCAGTTCAGAAGACAGTTTGGAATTCTTTTTAGATGATGATGCAGACTTTGATGTGGTAACCAGATTATATTTCTTGATTTAAATACTGTGGTGAAAAGTACAGATGCTCATTTCTTCTTTTGAAATTAAAATGTTCTATTCCAAATGTTCCACAAACTTTCCAGAAGGAAGAATGATTTTGATACTGTTCTCCAATTGGATATATAGTAGATCTTTATCATAAGATATTTTATGAAAAATAAACATCTATAAGTAGGTAATAATTTAAGAAATATATATCATCTACAATCTTCCTGTAAAAATAGCCGCTTTCTGATTGCTCATCATTTTATTGGGGCTTGAGATGTACTACGTGGCCTTCAACAAAACAGCCCTTTATTGCCACAAGATTGACTTTGAGCTAACCCTATCCTTAAATGATTTTGATACTGTTCTCCAATTGGATATATAGTAGATCTTTATCATAAGATATTTTATGAAAAATAAACGTCTATAAGTAGGTAATAATTTAAGAGATATATATCATCTACAATCTTCCTGTAAAAATAGCCGCTTTCTGATTGCTCACCATTTTATTGGGGCTTGAGATGTACTAAGTGGCCTTCAACAAAACAGCCCTTTATTGCCACAAGATTGACTTTGAGCTAACCCTATCCTTATGCAAACACAGAAACTCAAAAGAACAAAACCCACCGTCCATTACACACCTTATCAGAATCATCTTTTTTTTAATTGTGGTTAAAAAAAAACCCTCATAACATAAAATTTACCATCTTAACCATTTTTAAGTGTGCAGTACAGTAGTGTTAACCATATGCAGATTGATGCACAACAGATCTCTAGAACTTTTTCATCTTGCAAAACTCAAACTCTACACCCATTAAACAACTCCTCTTTTCCACCTCCCATAGTCCCTGGCAACCACCATTCTACATTCTGTTTCTGAGAGTTTGATTACTTTAGATACCTCATATAAGTGGAATCATACAGTATTTGTCTTTTTGTGACTGGCCTATTTCACTTAGCATAATGTCCCCAAGGATAATGTCCATGTTGTAGCATGTGACAGGATTCCCTTCTTTTTTAAGGCTGAATAATATTCCATTGCATGTAGTTACCACATTTTCTTTATCCATTCATCCATCAAGGGACACTTAAGTTGCTTCCAACTCTTGGCTATTGTAAATAATGATGAGCATGGATGTGCAAATACCCATCTTTTAAAAAATTGTTTACTTAAAGTAATGTACACTTATTCTTAAAAATTTGGACAATAAAATAATTAAAATGTGGAGGGAAAATGAACTTCACTTAGCCTTCTGGCTTCTTTCTTCTTCTATTCCTTCTCCCTTGCCTTTCCCTTTTTCCTGCTTGTGTTTCTTCTTCTGCTTTAATCCTTCTTTTCTCTTTTCCTCACCTGCTTCTTTCTTTTTCCCTTCCCCTTCCCTTCTTTAATACCTTTCATCTTTCCCTGTTACCCAAAACATCCTCTTCCTGAGAGCCAACTCTCACTTGGGATATAGGCGAGGCTCCTGTGTAACTCTTTACCTGTGTCTCCTGCACAATCAGAGCAGTATTCCTTTACTCCACTGTGTTTCTTAGATAAGTCACATGTGCATAGGTAGCATATTTTTAAGTGAACTATATTGTTCATTATTGATTGATTAGGAGCCAGATCTTTATTTTAAAGAACCAGAAGAGTTACTCCAAGTCCTCACAGAATTGGAAGAGCAGAATCTTACTTTGGTCCAGTATTCCCAAGATGTAGATGAAAATCTTGAAGATGTAAACAAAAGAGAAAAATTAATACAGGATAAAATGTAAGTCATTAAAAACAAGTACATTTATTCTGTTAGGCAATTTCTAACTGGAGATTGGGTTGAACTCATTGACATGTGGCTCTTTCTCATGGTCTCTCTGGATTTAGGCTGGGATTTTTATGAACAGTAGTCTACATTGTGGGGTATAAAATGTAGAAGTTATATTTACACAGAATAGACTGGCTTTAGTTTAATTTTGTCCCTACTTCCTTCCATTTGTCAAAATATTTTCCTACCTAGTAATAATAAAAGATAGTTTAAAAAACTAAAATGAATTAAAATGGTACCTAGTGCCTTAATTTTTGTCGAGTATAATTTTCACTCTGTCACCTGGCTTGCTGTCATTCCTCAATCAAATCATGCTTTAGATGATAATGCTAATAAATGCATTTTCCTTGGCTGTTACTCTCAACAAAATAATTTTTGTGATTAAATATTATATCATTTTATAACATACATATCATGACTATAAAAGAAAAGATTTCTATCAGGGCAAAGAGGCTGCATCTGATAACTCACAAAATTCCTTTCTACTCTAAAATTTTATATTATGATAATTTTGAAAAAGAACTTCAAGTTGTAGAGAATAGATTTTCATATCTGCTCATTATAAAAATATGTAGAATCTTTTTTGGAGAAATTTTCTGGGCCAGACAATGGCAATCATTTTAAAAAGTAGGTCAAACTACATTTAACCTCAGAACAAATGAATTCGTTCAGAAGATAAGAACCTAAAAGTCATGATCTCACAGCCAACTCATTACCACGACTGTATCCTTTGAATCCTTGTATCTTTCTTAATTCTCACAGTAGATGGTGGCTGCCCTCCCTCCCCTAAGTACGATTTTCCAGGACATAGAGTGGATGCGGGCAGGCAGGAAAAGGGATCTGTGTCAGAATCTATCTCTAGGGGATCTTTATCTAGGGGAATCTCTAGGCAAGGGATTCAGGAGTCTATATTTTCCCCCTTGGCTCCCCAGATATTCTGGTTCTCAGCCAGGTTTGCAAACACTGCCATAATAGATCACACCACAGCTTGGGTTCCCGACATCCTAGCTCTTGATTTGGGAGACTTGAGGGGACCCACAAAGGTAGGGAAAGGGAAGAAAATAGCTTTCTGATGGAAGTTGACAGCAGCATGCACTTCTGATTCACTTATGATTCTCATTGTAACTTGAAAAGTTGTATGTACTTTGGCAATGTCTTCAAATGTGGACTCATACTTGGCCTGCTAGAGATAGGATGAAGGCTGGCACATGATCTAGAAGAATGTCGAAGCTCCTGACTGACAGTTATTTCTCTAAACCACAAATTACAGATGGGGGTCTCTTTCTTCTTTTGCAACAGAAATGCCAACATAGAGTTTCTTTTAGAGCACAAGGCAGTGCTTAAGGATAAGTGTGTGAGAGAAGAGGAAAAAGCAGCAGAATTGGAATTAAGGTCCAGGCTATTTAGTTTCGGAGAATTTAATTCAGAGGCTCAGGTAATCAATCTTTGTCTATGGTAATTTTATTTTGGCTCATGATAATAATAATTTGTATTTCCTGTGTACTAAGCATTTGAATAGGGGAGTTAAAGCAAATCACAAATCTCAGGTTAATGATAGAGGCAGAAAACCAGCTTGTAATTATCCTGCCAGTATGTAATACTGAAATTACATAGCTAGGAAGCATTCAAATTGGCACTAGTGTTCTCTTAAAATGTTGCTCTAATCTTTACAAACTATGATTTTTTTCCTCTAAATACATTTCTTTTAGTCAGAGTGTATATATGTATTAAGTAATTTACTGCCTGAGATCATTTAAGTGGTAATTCAATGAGCAAGTAATTACGAGAGGAAGCAGTGAATCAACTCAACAATGAATCGGCACTGAATGGAAAATTTGCCCAACACTGAGCTTGTATTACATTTTGGTGTCTTTGGGCCTGCAAAGATAGACTCATTATCAGAGCACTGGTGACACATACTAGGACACTTATGTAGTGACATGTTCATCTCTCCAGCTGGATGCAAACCCCTGAAGGGCAGAACTGTCTTAGCCTTCTTAGTTCAGTTTAATGTCCCCATAAAGTTGGTGCTCAATAAATGTTTGATGAATGAATGACTAGGTTAGTTTTTAGACTCATAACAAACTCCATCTAACATTGGTTTCCTTGTAAAAACCTTAAATGAAATAAAAATTCAAAGCTAATATGTGGAGCTAATATCATATTTATGGTCAGGAACTTGATTTTCAAACAGAGATGGATTTGGGGTAAGTGTATCAGAAGATTACTGTCCTCCCTACCCACAAAAAGCAGAAGCTGTTCATGGCTCCTTTGTACACACATTTCCTAGGGTGTTATAGCACCTTGAGTTAGCAGGGGATGGGCTTGCGCATTGCTAGAGGAAGAAGTGTGATAACAGCCACCTTTCAGCTCTTCAGTGCTGGGTTTTGTTGTTGTCGTTGTTGTTTTAAAACATGATTTTTACTGTGATAAAATATACATAACAAAATTTACCACTTAACCATGTTGAGTTGTAGCTCAATGGCATTAAGTACATTTACAATGTTGTATAACCATCACCACTATTTCCAGAACTTTTTCATCATTATTTCAACATAAAATGTAACACCTTAACCATTTTTAAATTTACAGTTCAGTAGTGGTAAGTACATTCACATTGTTTTGCAACAAATCTCCAGGACTCTTTTCATCTTGCAAAACTCTATACCCATTTAACAAACTCCCCATTCCTCCCTCCTTTGCCCCTAGCAACTACCATTCTACTTTCTGTCTCTAGGAATTTGACTATTCTACATTCCTCATGTTAAGTGGAACAGTACAATATTTGTTCTTTGGTGTCTGGCTTATTTCACTTAGCATAATGTTTTCAATGTTTATCCATGTTGTAGTATGTATTAGAACTGCATTTTTGTCTAAGGCTGAGTTAACAGCCCACTGTATGTGTATATACCATATTCTGTTTATTCACTCATCTGATGATGGACACTTGGGTCATTTCCATCCCTCAACTCTGTTTTAAATAATTCTGAAGCTGATTGACAAACAAAATGTGAGATTAATATTTGTGATATCCATTTCATCCAAGTTTAGGGCAGCTATGGAAAAAATTGGCATTTTCAATACTTGTAAACATGAAAGCAATCAGATCCCTAAACAGAGAAGGTAGAATTGATCTGAAAATTACTTTTTAAAAGACTGTCCATGAAATTTTTGTCACGAGTATAAATTTGGCATTCATGTATTTATTGTACATTCTGGGGAAATGGGGCTAATATTCACAGTGTTTCCTAGAGATAGAAACTGTAGGGTAGAGAAGGGGAGGCAGAGAGGAAAACTGGGAGGAAAAAGTATTCTTAGAATTTTCCTGTTTTCCTAACCCCATTCTTCCAGACCTCAAAACATGCAAAACATAATCCTTTATGAGTAAATAAACATAGTTGCATATAATTTTCTAAAAGTTTTTTCCCAGCTTTATTGAGGTGTAATTGACACAACTAATTTTGATACTCATAAATTATCATAGTTACTTTGGAGCTATAACTGTACAATGAATATTTTATTCTTTCAAAATTTCCACACTCCTAACTGTACCTGATCCCCTAAAAATTTTTTCCTTGATTCAATATTTCACTTGTAAAATAAAATTTTAAATTCAAGTATAGTATAATGTTGAAAAGTGCACATATCATTAAAGTACCTCTTAAGGACTTTCCTCAAAGTGAACACACACACATGCTACCTCCAAATTAGGGAATAGACCATATCAGCCCCCAGAAACTTCCCTCATATTTCCTTCCAGTTTCTACCATCCCTCAAAAGTGACCACTATCCTGACTTCTCTCACCATCAATGAGTTTTCCTGTTTTTGAACTTTGTGCACATGGAATCATGTGATGTATCTGGCTTCTTTCTCTTAACATTATGTTGGTGAGATTCATCCATGTTGTTGTGTGTAGCAGTTCCATTTTCATGGAACATGAAATGGAACATAAGGTAGTTCATTGTTCAGTTTTCAGAATGTGCTCATCTCTGGGTTTTATTATTCTTTTGCACAGGGAGCTGATCAAATTCAATTGGCAGTGTTGTGTATAGACAGCACACAGCAGAATGTGACATGGATTAGAATGACAGAATCCTTGAGTTGGAAGACTTCCAATGACATCTAGTTATCTCCCCCCTCCCCTCTCCAGTTCTGATACAATGATTCCTCCTAAAAGGTCACTCTGGTCATATCACTTCCCATTTGCTGTTGGAGGGCATTTTAAATTCTCATCCCGGTATTCAGAGTTTTCCATAATTCCACCCACTATACCTCCTGAAGAGCACCTCCTACCCCCTGCAGCCTCACTCGGTGCTCAGGGCTAGGCCTGCCATCTGGTGGCAGTTCAGGGATCAGGCTGACATTTCTGTCATCAGTAGGCTTGTATCTTGTGCTCTCTTCTTTGCCCTTTTGAGGGCCAAGCTCTCAATCTCTTTTTCACACAAATCATCTTCTTTAACCTCATTCCTCTCTATTTCTTTCTTCCTGCTTTTGGCTGCTGGTCAGTACAGGGATCTGAACCCTTGATGTTGGTATTATAATGATGCCCTCTAACCAACTGTGCTAACCAGCCAGCCTGCCTCCTCTCTTTTCTTATGCTGTTCTTACCTTGTTCTCTTAAGAAATTATCTCTTTTTGTCTTTTCCTCTCCTGTTTGACAAGGGAACTTAAAAAAAGAGAAACAGGGCCGGCCTGTGGCTCACTCGGGAGAGTGCGGTGCTGATAACACCAAGGCTACTGGTTCGGATCCCATATGGGGATGGCCGGTTTGCTCACTGGCTGAGCGTGGTCCTGACAACACCAAGTCAAGGGTTAAGATCCCCTTACTGGTCATCTTTTAAAAAAATAAAATAAAGAGAAACAGAGAGAGAAAAGATGTCCTAAAAAGCCACTGCCCATGCCTATCTAAAGCTCTGTTTAAGAGGTCTCTTTAGGAATTTATATCAATGGCTTACCATTCTCACAGTAAAGTTGCTTTTTCTCAAAACCAGTGTTCAATATATTTTTTTAAGCATCATGTTTTTTCTGCTTTACTGACTCACATTTCAGCAGTTTTGTTTTTTCATATGCAGTGTACAATATTTCAGTCCCTAATGGGTTACTTTCACTTTTTCCTTTTATCTTTTTCTACAATGTCTCCAAGGTTTCTAAAAGGAATATGTTGTTATATAAATAGAAAATATAATAAATGTTATTTTAGGGAGGGGAAAAAAGGGGGCTTTATGAAAAATAGGACTTTTGCTGTTTTCTTTTATATTATTTTGTATTTCTTCAAGTTTTCTAAAAGGATTGTATTTTAGTATAAATAGGAAAAGAGTAAGTATTACTTTAGAGAGAGAGAAAAAAAGGAGCTTTTTGGTAAATAGGACCATCAGATAGCTTGTTAAACTAGGAGGTGGGGGAGACAAGCAGTTGGAAGTACACTCTTGGTATCAGATCTTGGCTTATAATTAAGTGTTGGTGGCTCTGGAAGGAGACTGTGATTCCAGGAGGGATTTCCCATGGTTTCAGGAGCCACATCTGTCTTGAGTGTGTTATTTGTCCTTGGCTTTATGGTGATTCTCATCTTCTTGAGCAGAAGTGGGAATTGGGGCAGGATGCTACCTGGAGAGCTATTTACCTTGCCCAGCAATTTGTTGAAGTCCTCTTAGCTGCGAATGCCAGGTATGCAATGGAGAAAGAGGATGATAATTTTCTTATGGTCCTGAAATGAGTTACCTATCAGCTCAAAAATATCTACCATCACTTAACACGGAGCAGTATCAAGGTACAGGGATCAGCAAAGTTTGACCTAAGCTTCTGTTCAGATTAGAATACTGCAATGGCTTCCCAAAGGAGAAAGTGAAAATCTGACTGCTAAAAATGCTTTGGCAGACCAGCCTGGGAATCTGCTAGTAAATTTTTTTTTTTTTTCTGAGAGAATGCATTCAGTCACTTATTCAGTAAGCATTTATTAAGTGCACAGTTATGTGCAAGGCACTGTTAAAATGTATGTTGCCTTTATTTGAATGCTTAGGGAATCAGATAAACAAAAACATTCAAGGAAAAGGATATTCTTATTATGATTATTTTTTACAGCTGGGCTTAAATATATTTTAAGAAAATAATCCAAGGTGTTACTAATGATGTGACTATAAATGATGATATAGATTGAATATCACTGGTATATGTCATATTAAAGTTTTCTTTTAAAAAAGGAAACAGTAGCATATAAAAGACTTTTCACTGTATCATCGTAAAAGGGAATTTTATATTTATTGAATGAGCAACCAAATAGACATATGATGTTATGCTTTCTGCTCTTCCTTTTCTTCCCAATATCAGGAAAAACTGATAGACTCACTTAGTAAAAAAATTAATCAAGTGTACAGAATCTGCATTGGAGATGCTGAGGTTGGTAGCCTCAATGCAGTTCAAAAGCTGGTAAAAGTAGAGTCTCGCCTGGTGGAACTGTGTGACCTCATCGAATCCATTCCCAAAGAAAATGTGGAGGCAATTGAGAGAATAAAACAGAAAGAGCGACGGCAAAAGTACAGTCAATGTCTTATGATATAAGTATAGTGAATGATTTAATGAATAGCTGGTTTTGCTTGGATTCCACAAATGTTTAGAAAGTCTCTCTCATATAGCAAGGACTGTCATGTAGGGACGCAGTGGTAAAGAAACAAACCCAGCCCCGCCCTCCTCAAAAGTTATTTAGTGAGGAGACACTTCATCAAATATCTTTATACAATAAATGTGTCTCACCAATGGTAATGAGCAGTGTGAAAAGGAACCAGATGAACAAAGAAAACTCACCAGGGGCAACTGACCTAGTTCGGGAAGGGCAAGGGGGTCCTTTTAGCCTGGAAAAGTGAATCTCTGAGGTGAACTCACTAGTCATGTGCAAATGTATGCAAAACTACGAAGTGGAAGAATTGCACTTGTGGTGAAAGACCCAAGGTATAGAATTAAGAACCCTTCATTGGAAAACTACAGGGAGACTCAATCTATGAAGGAATTGTTTGAAAGTCACAGCCACACAATGAGGGTTTTCCTCAATGCAAAACTACCAACACTTATACAACACTTACACATTAGTTCATTTATTCCTCAGGATAACCTTATGAAGATTATCATACCTGGGACTCCACCCCCTGACCCCCATGTCCCTGCCTAGCCTGGAGTCTTTCAGAACACACTGATTTACAGATTTCCACACTGAGTTAAATAAGGATTTTTATGTACAGACTACATTTGAGGCGATGACTATTATAATTATAAATGACCCCTAGTATAATGTGGCATGTAGTAAATGTTTCTAATTGGGATAATGTTTACGTTATAGCAAAAAACATGTTGGAAAGCAGACTAGTTCTATGGCTACCCGCATCGGCATGAGAGCCTGCCTGCCTGGGTTCAATTCAGGTTCAACTGTTCACAACTTTGTGATCTTAGGCAGCATAACTTCTCCAGTCTCAGTTTCCTAATCTGTAAAATGGCAGTAATAATGGTACTTATCTCATAGGGTTGCTGTGCACATTAAATTAAATAATCTACATAAAAGTACTAAAGCCTGTTTGGCACATAGTAAGTACTCAAACACCAGCCATTAGTATTAGATATTTTGTTATTGCTTACTATATTACTGGTGCATGGGAGATATTGTTTCCCCCATAAGAAAATGAAGTCCAGAATATATGAAGGTGATCCTGATAAGATTTTATTGAATATAAAGCAAACTTGTTAAGACAAACAAACAGATATGATGTAGTGGGGGGGAGCGGGGAAAGAGGAACGGGTAAAGGGACATGAAAATCTACTACAATGTATATTGAGAAGTTAAAATTAAAAAAATAATAATAAAATAAATAAATAAACCAAAGCAAACTCTTAAAAAACTCTTGAAATAAAAGATTACTCCTTCCATAAGATGACCTCACTCTGATTACACTAACAGCACTTGCATCCCTTTTACAGTAGCAAACACATTCTCATCAAAGTGTAACTACAACTTATTTTCAGCAGTGACACATGAATTTAATTCCAATTATTTTTCTTCTTATTCAAAAGAGAAATTTAGTTGATTTTCCCCCATGGTTTGGAGACATGTAACAGAGCACCCAATTTCACTAATTAAAATGCTCAGTAAATGTTATTTCCATCCACTAGTGTATAACCTTACACTGACAATCGTATATAAATCCATAAAATATCACTTATTGAGAACCTATTCCGCACTAAGCCTTGTAATAGCCTTATAATAGGTTATCTAATTTTTCTCCTCACAACAACCCTAAAGAGAATAAGACAAATAGTATGTCTTGGTCTTAATTTGAGGATATCATTCAGAAAGATTAACTGGAGAGTACACTTTTGTGGCAATTCATTGAGCTATACACTTGTGATCTGTGTACTTTTCTGTATGTTATACTTCAAAAAAAGGTTTTAAAAATCAGGGAGGGGGAAGCTGGAAGGTAATTCAAGCAATTATTATACAGACTAACTGTAAAGCACTGAAATGTATCTGGAGGGACTAGAAGGTTTGATCTCATTTTAGACCAAGATCTGGGTAGATTTCACTTCTTCCAAAATGGTGAAATAAAATTTCTTCGCATTTCAAAACAGGATTTGTTGTTGGGGTTTACCTAAATATTCAAAAGTCACTATGGGTGAAGATGAAGTACCATTTTCATTTAACCTTAAAAGAGGTCTTATACTTTCAAATAGTTCATTACCAAAGAGTAATGATGTAGATCTTTTTTACTCTCTGTGATTTATAGTTACAAAAATGTTCCTCCCCTCTTGTGACAGGTTGCGTGATGAGAAAATGAGAGAAAAACAAAGACACCAGGAGGAAAGGCTAAAAGCTGCTCTAGAAAGAGCAGTAGCACAACCAAAGAAAAAGGTTCGTGTTTTGCTATTAATAGCCCAACCACATCAATATGTGTGTGCCTCTGTGGTGCAAAAATGAAATATCTGATTTGTCTAACTTACGCAGGTTGAACTTCAGTAAAATAATCTTTCTTGCTCACAGCTTCAATTGTTCTCCCTCTGGTTCCTTGTTACTTTTAGAATAATCCAAATTATTAGGTCTACAGTTCTCCATTAGACACACTTTGGTAAAAGAAGCCTCTTTTCTTTCCTCTTTTTCTTTAGTTCTAGACTCGTGAAACTGGAGAATTTCTGAATAAGTTGTTTTAAATAGGTAATATAAGCATATGGTTCAAAGTTCAAAAGGTACAAAAGAGTATTCAGTGAAAAGTCAGAATTCCTCAGTTGCCCTCCCTGGAGTCCACCACTGTTAAAAGTTTTCATCTGCATCCTTCTGGAAATATTCTACGTATTTGTGTACATATTCTTTTTCTTACAAATGGCAGCTATGAACCTTGCGTCTTTCACTCAACAAAGTTTTGGAGATAGCGAACCCAGAGAATTACATATACTTGGAAGGGTCTTCTGATGTCCACACCGTAAAGATAATGAGATTGATAGTTAAAGATTGAAGTTAAAATGATTTGCCCAAAGTCACTTCCGATTTAGTAGCAGAATCAGACCAGAAGCCAAGGTTCCTTATATGGCAAGAGTACCTGTCCAATCAGAAGTATGGGATCATACTTCTGTCACCAAGTGTATGTGGTCCATGGCTTCCACACTGGGTAAGGAGGGCCTTCTGTTGCTATGTGCCACTGTCTCCCTCCTCTGGGATGGGATCTAAAACATATTCCAGGAAGACAATTTCATGGTTATCTGCAAAGCTAATGTGGACAATGATTCTTACCACAGTGATAGGTAACACAGTGCTTATTGTGTGCCTCTTGAGGTAAGAACTTGAAAAAAGTTCTTAAGTGTGATAACTGTTAATATGTACTAGTATACCAAAAAGTGACGATTACCTTAAAATATTTTATTTAAATAAGTACTTAATCTTAGAAAGGGTCTATGTTTATCTAGTTCAATTCAATTCTTCCTATGAAGACTTTCCTCACCTATTATTTTTCAATAGTCATCTATCAATTTCCCTGGGGGATTGGTTCCAGGACTTCTCCTGGGTACCAATACCCACGGATGCTCAAGTGTCTGATCTAGAATAGTGCAGTATTGCCTATAACCTATGCAGATCCTCCCCGATACTTTAGATTACTTATAATACGAATACAATGTAAATGCTATGTAAATAGCTGTAGTACTGTATTGTTTAGAAAATAAAGGCAAGAAAAAAAAGTCTGTATGTGTTCAGTACAGACGCAGTTTTTTTTCTGAATATTTCCCATCCAAGATTGGTTGAATCAACTGATGCAGAACCCATGGATATGGAGGGCTAACTGTATATCCACCCTTCCTTCTAGACCATAAGTTTTATAAGCTTTGTATCTCCAAAGCCTGGAACATGGTGGATACTCAATAAATGCTTATTGAATAAACTAACTAAAAATGAGAATAAAAACTAAAACTGGGGCCGAGCCCGTGGCACACTCGGGAGAGTGCGGCGCTGGGAGTGCAGCAGCGCTCCCGCCACGGGTTCAGATCCTATATAGGGATGGCCAGTCACCACTCACTGGCTGAGCGCAGTGCGGCCGGTCTCAAAAAGGACAAAAAAATTTAAAAAAAACTAAAACTGAAAAAGAAAATGGTGATCTGATAAAGTCAACAATGTAGAACGACCTCTGATAATTTACTCAGGACGCTTCATCACTGGCAATTTTCTCAGACAGTATTAATATGAAGGTTACCAAAAACTGCTGACATTTTTTTAAAAATTCTGACATTAGAAAAGGAATTCAGGGGGCCGGCCCGGTGGCGCACTGCGCTAGTGCGCCTCTTGGGAAGTGCGGCAGCGCTCCCGCCGAGGGTTCGGATCCCACATACAGACCGGTTCCCGCTCACTGGCTGAGCGAGGCGCGGGGGCAACACCGAGGGTTGCGATCCCCAGATGGGAGGAGTGCTACTGTTATTTAGGTTCTCTGGGTCCAGGAATGTCAAGAATTCTTCAGTACAGGGGGGAATGGTCTCACATGAGAATTGCCCTGCCTAAAATGTCAATATAGTGTCCCTTTTGAGACACAATGTATGTGTCCCATCAAATCTCATGTACAATAGAATATGGTAGTTTCCTCATCCATTCATTTAATTTATATATTTAATTCAGCTATAAAAGCAAAACAAGGGCAGGCCTGGTGGCGCACTGCTACAGTGCGCCGCTTGAGAGCGCGATGGCGCTCCCGCGGAGGGTTCGGATCCCACATACAGACCGGTTCCCGCTCACTGGCTGAGCGAGGTGCGGGCGCAACACCGAGGGTTGCAATCCCATTGCCGGTCCCGGTCCGGTCAGGCGTGACACTGAGGGTTGCGATCCGTTGCTGGACACGAAAAAAGACAAAAAGGAAAAAAAAAAAAGGCAAAACAAAAACCAAAAAAGGGAAGGGGTAGATCCTAAGACTAAAAGAGAAAAATAAATTGAGTAGTGATATACTTGGGTATATATACCCTAGAGAAAATGAACTTAAAATTTCCCTAAGAATTTCCTGGTGGGAACACCTCTAAGAGCCAACTGTAATACTAGTGTTTAAGAAAATAGAATGTGGTTTTCTGAAGTTTTTGTTTAACAAGATTTCTAAATGCTAGTCAACTGGTAGTCAACAGAAACAAATGATCTCTTCCAACTATGGAGAAAAAACTGGCCATGGCACTTAAATGTTGGCCTCCAATATGGTGCTTTTCTAGGCTGACTGTATTTGAACCAGATGCTATTTGATGACTTTACCTGAATCTCACCACTTCCCCATAAAACCTGTTTTCTAGAAACTATAGGTGCTCAATTTGCTGCTTAACTTTACCTAGACATCCATTAGGTTACCAATTCCTTATGTGATATTTTAAACCATATTATTCCTTATAAAAATCAACTTATTATTGGAATTTTACATACTTCAACAGAAAATGGTTATGCTAAAGAATATGAAGTATTTTGTTTTCCTTTTGTTTCAGATGGGAAGACGACTTGTCTATCGTTCAAAACCTCCATCTGCTAACAGACCTCAACTAATTTCAGTCAGAGATTCAAGAACAAAAACAGAAGAGGAAGAATATTTTTTTACTTGAATAGGAGCTGTAAGACATACCAGAATGTTTTAGGTATATTTCACAGATTTTGGCTTTCGGTAATGGCAATTTTCTGCCGCATATACTGACCTAACCAATTTGAGGAAGACAGGCCCTTATTCCAAAGGTTATAGTATTGGGAATGAGAGTTATTTTCTTTTGTTGAAGACTTTTATTATTCATATCATAATTGTCATTCTATACAGCTTAACATTTATATCTATACTTTGAGCTCTTCTAGTTGGAGACACACATTCCAAAGATAGTTTATAGATATAACTATATGGTGAATGACCATTAAAGTGTAATAATGGCCATTCTTCCGACACATGTGAGTTTAAATGATATATTTTCTCAACCAGTCTATTGGGAAGTTCATAGCACACTGTTATCACTATGGAATATACATTTTAACAATGTGCAACTCTAAAATATTAGAGTTGCACATTGTTAAAAAGGGTTTTGAGGGGTTTAAAACAAGTGAAAATCACTAGATTACGGTCTCAGAACATAACTGTGAGACTAGTTTTTATTTCACATTAAGTTCTGATAGAAAAGTCTATTCTCTTAAGTGAACAAGCCATATTCTTTCAGCTTAAATGTCTATTCACAATTTCTGTTGTGTCTTATCTCCACAATTACTTTAATTTTCAGGTGATGTTTCAATTTTAGCTACAATATGTGCATTTAGCTTATAATGGTAAAGAATTAACTGTAACTTATTGACTAAGTAAAATAATATAGTATATATTAATACTAAGAAAATATTTAACTTTATACATGTTAAAAGTGGCTCAAAAATAACTTTAAAAGAAACAGTTGCTTTTGAAAGGTCTCAGTTAATATGGTACAAGAAAATTCACCTTTATAAAAATTTCCAAAGCACAGAAATAATTATCTCTTACAGAAAAAAGCAGTAGTGGGCCTATAAAAGAAAACCAACTTAAATAAACCTGGGTGGTTTTTAAAACATCAGTTCTGTAAATAATCTTTCAATTCTTTCAACATTTGAGTTTTGCAAGTAAACAGCTGCATATGGATAGTTAACAAGTCAAGTTGAAAAAACAAACAAATCTTTATTGTCTAGATATATAAAAAAAATCCCCCGAAAAAGATGCTATTCTCTCATTTCTCCATCTTCTTCTTCTTCTTCAACACCTCTGATATAAAGCACATTATTACACCTGTAAATAGAAAAAGAGTCCATTTTGTTGTTCCAACCAGAAACCATATATGATCTGAATCACTATTACTAGAATTTTTTTCACTGTAAAAATACTGAATGCTAAATTTACAATATATCTTTCTTCCTCTTTTAAAAAAGAGTTTTATTTACATATATTTGTTAAAAAGCATATGACACTTATTTTTTACCATGTGGTTGTTATAAAATGACATCTTTATGATTTTCCAAAAGGAATAATTATTAGAATTTGGATATTTCAGACTAGTATTAGAAAATTAATATAAGAAAAATCCTTGACATCAGCCAGACCTAACTAAAATTCAAAACTATGCTCCTGTAACTAAGACCACAGAAAGAGGTTACAGCTAAGAGCCAAAAAATTTAATATCAACACCAGAAAAATCTTAATGATGCAAAGCTCCAAAATATTTAAATATTACCTTTGACAGGTTTAACAATTTCAAAGATCTTTGAAGTCTAATTGTAGAGCATTATGTTAAATAGTGATTTCTAAAAAAGTAATTTCAAAACTGAGGCACTAATTTATTTAAACAGGTATTTCTAATGCTCACCAGTAACTCCATACACACACACACACACACACACACACACACACACACACACACTACTGCTGTTTGTTACCTTATTAAAACTTCACCCAGATGTCCAGACAATGCTCCATCTATGTATTCTTCTGTATTTGCAAGCTTTAAATAAAAATAAATATATCAGTCCAATCACACAGGAGGTAAATAGTATATTACATTGGTGACTGGTGACAGAACTTATTAACTAAGACCCTTCTATACCAACAAGTCAAATTTATCTATAAATAATACTGAGAAGATTAGCTTTCTATTATTATTATAGCACTTTTGGGTTTCACATAAACATGCAGTAAAATTAATGCTCATGGATGTAGAATATATAATAAAGCTTGTTTCAACATAAGTTTTTAAATCTTCCAGGTTATGTAATATTTCTTTCTATTAGACATCAAAATAGTATGTCAAGGGAGGCAGTCTCCAATTTATCAGTAAGTTGTGATTAAAAGTTTTCCAAAAATTCAAATCTAAAGAACCAGACATTACCTTTTCTGAGTAACAACATTAGAAATCATATTGAGGTATCCAATGGGTATACAGAAGCTATGGCTAAAATAACAAATACTTTTATATTAGTCAATGATCAAACCAAAGAACTAAATGAGAATTTTTTGTTTTTAGATTTATGTACTAATAAACAGGGAAAAACAAGTTCTTAAGAGGAGTTAAACAGTTAAGGGTGGCCTTTATAATTATTTCAGGGAACTTTCTAATTTTAAATCAAAATGTTTAGCTTTCCTTCTACATATAGGTAGTAAACTTTACTTGTAATTTTTAAAAATCACAATCAGTGCCATCTGGGCCTCACAAAAGGAATGAACAGGAGACAAGGGAGAGAGGGAAGTTTCCTTCTTAACTAGGCAAGTAGAAAAGGGAGAGAAATAGGGCTTAAAGAGAATGTGACTTAAGGCATTTAAAACATGTTAATGAATTAATACCACTACTGGATGGTATTCCCTCTCCTGCAGAAAACAAAAAGTAATCTCATATACCCAGAGAATATGGTTTTGTTTGAAACATGATTTTTGAGACAATTACTTTTGTATATAACAGCTATTAGGAATAGTGTATTAAGAGCAACTAATTTTTCTCTTAAAGTAATTATTTTTGGCATGTTCATCAACATTAAACTGGTTTCTAAATTATACAATATCCCAAAGGCTTTCTATGATGTATTAAATTCAAGCTCTTCACCACTGCTTTAAAGCTATTTATTATTCCAACCTAACTTTCCATGCTCCTTCCCCTAACTCTGCTCTGGTCTTCTTGCTGTACCTGGAACATACTGAGCATGCTCCTGCCAGAGGGGCTTTGTACTTGATGTTCCCTCAGACTGGGATGCTCTTTCCCCAGATACTCACTTGAGGTGCTCACAAATTCTGGTCTCTGCTTAAATTCACTTCCTATCTAACACTGCACACTCTGTTACTCTTTTCCCTTTTTCTTTCTTTTTCTTCATAGCGTCTATCATACGTGATATCATATTCTATTATATTATCATCTCCCACCACCAAAACACAAACTTTTGAGGGTAGAAATTTTTTGTTTTCTGCTATATTCACAGTTCCAGGCACGTAATGGATACTCAGTATAAATTTACTAAGTGAACAAATTCAAAAGCTGATATCAACATGGTTGGCTCACTAGGAAGCTACATTAATTCTGAAGTCAAATATTAAGTGGGTATTCTTTATTCTTTTTTTAAACTGAGATGTAATTTCCAAAGCATAAAATTCACTCTTTTAAAGTGTACAATTCAGTCATTCTTAGTATATTCATAAAGTGTACAACTATCACCATTTAATTCCATAACATTTTCATCACTATATATAAACTTTTCAGATTTTTCTATGGCTTTTGTAAATGATTCCTGTTTGGGGAATTTTCCAGACCCAACCCCTGCTTTATAAGAACTTTGGGGACCTTAGTATCATCTGTTCAGGTGGGAAATGCTTAAGTTAAGGCAAATTTTAGTGCTCTCCCTACCTAAGTACTCCTGTTAGTTGGATTCATGGTTTGATTGACCACTTGTCTAGGTAACCTTTAAAAACTTGGCTGGAAATTACTATAACTATACAATAAAAAGCCAAACAACCCAACTTAAAAACGGGTAAAGGATATGAACAGGCATTTCTCCAAAGAAGATAAACAAATGGCCAATAAGCACATGACAAGGTGCTCAACATCATTAGTAATTAGGGAAATGCAAATCAAAACCACAATGAGACTCTACTTCGCACCCACTGGGATAGCTATTATTAACAAAGAAAATAAAAACCAACAAGTGTCAGTGAGGATGTGGAGAAATCGGTATCCTTGTGCATTGCTGATGGGAAGGTAAAACTGTGCAGCTACCGTGAGAAATAGTATGGCAGCTCCTGAAATAATTAAACATAGAATTACAATATGATCCAGTAATTCCACTTCTAGGTGTATACCCAAGAAGAGCTGAAAGCAGGGACTCAAACTGGTATTTGTACATCCATGTTCACAGTAGCAGTTTTCACAACAGTCAAACAGTAGAAGCAACTCAGTGTCCATCCATCAAGAGGTGAATGAATTAAAATGTGGTATATCCACACAATAGAATATTAGTCAGTCATAAAAAGTAATCAAATTCTGACACATGCTACAAACATGGATGAACCTTAAATACACTGTGTGAAGTGAAAGAAGCCAGACACGAAAGGACAAATATTGTATGATTCCATTTATATGAGGTACTGAGAATAATCAAATTCATAGAGATAGAAAGTAGAACAGCAGTTATTAGGGAATGGGAAGAAAGGGGAATAGGGTCTTACTGTTTAATGGGCATAGAATTTCACTTTGGATGATAAAATGGAAATGGATAATGGTGATAGCTGCACAACAATGTGAATGTAGTTAATGCCACTGAATTACACACTTGAAAATGGTTAAAGTGGCAAATTTTGCATGTATATTTACCACAATAAGAAAAAATTAATTAATTACAAAAAAACCCAAAAAACCAACAACCAGCTGAATCATTTACAGAAACTAGTTTAACAATTATGCAGTCAGTTCATCAATTCTCTTGGCTGATCTGTCTTCCCTCTGAATAAATGCTTTTATTGAATTACTTTGGTGTTGTACCTTTAGCATTTATTATAAAAGACTCAAGAAAAATTGAAAAATTTCTTTCAGAGCTAAGTGTTAGGAAAAGGTTTGCTTTCTTCAGCAAACTAGTGTTTTTCCCTTATGGTGTTATGAATCAAATGTCTGAGTCCTTCTCACTTTAACCACTAGGTGTAAAGTCTATGGCTGAATTTTGGTTTAACCCCATGTCTTGTACCTAAGATACTACAGTTTTAACATCCCCCCTGGCCCTTACTATATTCCTGAATTTTGCTTTATGTTTGTCCATTTAGTTGTATACTTACTAGTCACACTAAACCTTTCAGGAATAAGGTAAAGCAAAATAAATACAATTTAATGACTTTTATAACTCTTTAGCTTACCTGCATGTTCATATAGCCATCTACAGATACCAGGTAGCCCTTGTACTCCATTCCCCACTTAAGTTTCACCATTACTGGCTTTCCTGTTAATCCATTGAGGAAAGGTTTGGGATTGAGGGGTAAACTCTGCACAAAGAAAAAAAGATCTAACTGATTCTTTTTCTTTAGTTCAGTTTCCACCACCCACTCCCCTCAAACAAATAACCAATCGATATTTTATGGTATCCAAATGAAGCAAACCCTTGACTCCCTATCACTTACTATACTACATAATTTTCACTTTTACTGGTTGAAGAGTATCAGGTAAATTTAAATATCCAGTTAGTCGGTTTCATCTTTAACCCATCAAAATAAAATGAAGTATTCATTATTTACTTAAACACTGAATACCTACTATACATCACTCACTGTTCCAAGCTCTAAAGAAACAAAGGTAAAGGTACTAAAACAAACAAAAAAACACGACAGTCCCTGTCCTCAAGAAGCTTGTGGGGCAGCACATGCAAACAAATACTTATACTGGGTATTGCACTGAAGTAAGAGGAGATATTCTATGCACAGGGTTACCAAACCAAACCAGGTAAGAGAGAAAATGAAAGGCTGCCAGAAATAAGTAATGCCTCACTTTTAAAGGAGAGAATATTTCCAAAGAGAAAAAGCGCTGTTCCAGGCGAGGGAGGCTACCTAAAAGGAGGGAAGAGTGAAGCAACACAGTGATCTCAAGGGCATACAAACAATTCAGTGTTTGCAATCACAGTCCCAAATAAGAAACTACAGAAGGAAGCAAGGGGCAGATCATGCTTGACAGTCTTTCACTTCAGTTCTGAGAGCTAGGGCTAGGTCTTATCTGATTTTACATCACTCTTAACGCAATCGCTTAATGTTTGTTTATTCATCAAACCAGTAGTATCCCCAGTGAATTCAGACTTTTCCCCCTTTCTGCTCAACCACTATACCAAAGAAAGAAAAGATCTAAGGAACGTGGTTACTAAACCCCTCTAAGATAAGCATATTTAGGGTGATCCTGGGGACATGGGGACTACTGCAATGACCTCCTAATGGGTCTCCAGTTTTCACCTTCTCTTTCCAACTCATCCATACAGCAACTATTATTTTTTAAAGTGTGTATCAAACCACGTCATTTCTCTGCTTAAAATGCTTTAATGGCGTCCAACTGCACTTGGAGTAGAATCCAAATCTCCCAATATGGCTTAAAAGGTCCAGCCCAACGCCTGCTCCTCCGACCCTATTTCATAACCACTATTCTTGCAAACGGATGTAGCCTTCTCTCAATTTCTTTTCTAGCTTATGCTCCTGTCCCCCGTGCTTGGTATACTCTTCCTCCTGCTCTTTATGATTCTGTATTTCATGTCATTTAGGTTTCAGGTTAAATCCCACCTCCTAAGGGGAGGCCATCCCTTAGCAACCCTCTATTGTACCAACGTGGTGAGGCACAGCATCCCGTCTGCTTTCTATTTGCAACTGTATATTTCTGTTATTGGTTGGCTAATGACTGTCCCTCACGCCCGCCAAATTAATCTAGAGTAGGATCCGCATCTGTACTTTTCACCCTATATTCTTAGCATCTAAGGACAATACCTGGCAGGAAGTATGCGCTCAAATACTTGCTGACCGAATTTTAAAAAGAAAGAAAGAAAGAAAAAGCCTGGTCTTTGTGTTCCAGAGGGCTGCGGGGGCTGAACATCCCAACATCCCAGAATGAAAGCGGATTTTGGAGCGTGATAAGCGGGAAGTGAAAACCCGCTTCAGCTTTACCCCGATCCTGAGCCCCAGCCGGCAAGGACACCTCAGGCCTGGATTCAAACGAAGAGGAAAACGAGGCAAGGGAACTCCTGGGGAGGGAAAGCCGTCGGAAGGAGCGCGCGCCTCAAAAACCCCAGAGAAGGGCGAAGGTGCTGGCGACCGGGAGCGCGGCGCCTCACGCGGATGAATGGGAAACGCGCGAAGCAACCAGCAGGCCCGGCGAGGCTGGTAGCCCTCCCTCCCTCTCTCCGGAGACTCCGGATATCCTCCTTCTCCTTACCATCGCGACTACAGGCGATTCTGCAGGCTATTTGCCACCGACCCAGCTGCCGCCCGTCCCTCGTGACTGGAGCAGCTACCGCAGGTCCCGAACCCCTGAGCCTCAAGAGAAATGGCCACCAAACAGCAGCTTGACCTTTCACCTCCCACTACAGCCCTCCCGGCTTCTGTGATTGGGCGCAAAGAGGTGCGTGCTGATTGGAGGAGCTGGCTGGGCTCGTCTCCTGGCAACTAGCCGTGTGGCGTGCGTTTGTGCCTTGCCAGTGGAGCGCGGGCTTGTGGCAAACCTGCCGCCTCTCTCTTCGGCCCTGAAGGGAGCTGCGAGGCTGCAGAGGCGACGGGGCCGGGCCGGGATTTTAAGTTTGCTTTTCTGCCTGGAGCAGCCGGCTGTGAGATGCTGTGCACCCCATAATTTCTCGCCTGTTTGGCTTGGGGCAGGGGGGCGGGGGAGAGATTGTTTTGTTCTCCACCTGTGAGAAAGAGTTCGGGAAACTTGAGTTTCTTCCTCACTCTCCCACAGATTCTGTGATTTGGGGGCGCTCCGCCACGGCCCCCTTTTACTTGAGTGTTCCATTTCCAGCTTTTTAAAGAACGCGGGCGGACCGAGACTAGACCAGGACAGGTGAAACGCACCGAAGGTACAGAATTGATTTCAGGCGAGGCGAGGGGCAGCCTAGAGTCGGCGTCAGGGTCTCCCTGTCTCTGACAGTCTTTTTCCGTGCGTTTGTAATTAAGGACGTGGGAGTATTCACGTTCTCACGGATCAACCCTTCTGATGGAGCAGTATCGATCAGAATCTCACTTGTTTTTCCCGTAATCTCAGTGTGACAGCCGTTGGGCTCACTCTGATCTGAAGTGGTGGATGCAATGTGGGAAGTTGGTGCTTGAGAAAGTGAGGTCGGCGACCATGCGGGACGAGGGGCAGCCCAGCACCGGGCTTTGGAGCCCAAGTAGAGTGAAGCATCCCATCAGAGGGTGGCCTCACATGGAGTGTCAGAGCCTGAGTAGGGTGAAGAGGGTGTCCACACTGGGGTGAAGGGGATGGCCTGCTGTGGAATGTCAGAACCTAAATGAAGTGAGGAGGATATCCATGTAAAGGGATGACCTGGCCGTGTCAGAGCCTGAATGGGGTGAAGAAGGCATCCAGGGGAGGGGACAGTGGCAGGATGGGAGATTTGTTACAGAGGCTCTAATCAAAGGAATCAACATATGAAAGACAATTGGAATCAGGTTTCTCAATATCAGAGGGGATTACAAATATGGAGAGGGAGAAAACTAAAAAGAATGGTATGATATTGGATGAGACAATATGGTGTTTCTATATTCTAATCATATATATGGTTCTATTACTTTCCCTCTGTTCTTCATTGCTTACTTCTTTGTGTGTTGTTTTTTATAAGCCACTTCAAGTTCTTTGTAGAATAAAGTAGATGATAAAGAATGTAGCTTGATACATTCAAAAAGTTGGTGGAAAATAATACAAACTAAAATAAATACAAACCTTTCCATGAGCTTTTTGAAGTACCCTTGTATAATAAAAAAAAAAAAAAAAGCACTAAAATGAATAGAAGATATTGGAGTTAACTCAAGGTATTGATATAGAAAAAAATAGCAGATATGTGTGTGTGTGTGTGTGTGTGTGTATATATATATAAATATCAGTATTAATCATGTACATATTCCCCAGCTTTGTCTTCTAAGAGGATCTGGCCCCAGTAGCAGTGAGGATACTTAATGCCCAGATTTTAATTTCTAGATACCATTCCCCACTAAAGGAACCAGGGCCCCTTAAAGAATTGGCTAATTTCAGGATAGCACAAAATGAGCCTGGAGCATCTTGTTATGGCAAAGGTAAAAAAAAAAAAAGTGCTCAAAGAATGATGGGGCTATCCAAAAGGACACAAAGAACTGCTTGAAGAATCTCCAAATCTGGGACAATTTGAGCATCAAATTCATAATGATAGTAATGGGTTATATCCTATCGAATAAAATAGGAAACCATGGGTCCATAGTGATATAAATAAATGAATAAATGGAAAGTTTGATTTAGAATGGGGTAGTTACATAGTTTCAAATTATTTTCCCAAGAAATGTTAACTAATTATGTGCCACATAACAATGTTTCAGTCAATGACAGATCCCATAAGATGGTGGTCCCATAAGATTATAATGGAGCTGAAAAATTCCTATCACCTAGTGACATCTTAGCTATCATAATATCACAGTGCAATACATTTCTCACATGTTTGTGGTGATGCTGGTGTAAACAAATCAACTGCTGAATATTTTGAAGAGGAGTACCTCACTTACCCACAGGGTGACCCTCCCAAAGGTAGCTTAGGCCTTTAATACAGAAAGCCAAGCATTTAACACATTAGGTCTGACCACAAGTGAAAAGATTGTTGTCCAGTTTAGAATTCTCACATTTTTGAAGATAGCAAGCAATGCCTGGGGTCCTAAGCAGGAGCCAAGGGTAGCCCTCCCCACCCTAAAGCAGGCAAGAGAGCAACACCTGGGGTGCTAGGCAAGAGCCAAGCACAGCCCCCCCACCTGGAAACAGGTAAGAGAGCATGATGAAAACACCACTTCTGCACAAGTGGCCCACCACAGCCACCGCTACAACCAGAGCTGTTGTAAAAGTGGCTTGATACTGTAGCAGTAGCCACAGCCACTGTGTAGGTGGCCCACCAGACACTTGACTGTATTGACACAAGGAGAGTCAGCAGAGACTGGAAAAAGAAGAGAAGATTTCTCTCCTCAAAGCCCACTCTGGAGTAATAGAAGCAACTGCTTTACCAGATAACCAGACATCAACGTAGATACTAGAAATATGAAAACCTGAGAAAATATGACACCATCAAAAGAATACAGTAATTCTGAAATACCAGGCCCTCTAGAACAGAAAACCCTTGAAATGACTGAAAAGGAATTCTGAACAACAATCTTAAAGAAACTCACTGAGATCTAAGAAGACTCAGACAGTATAATGAAATGAGAAAAAAAAAATCCAGGATATGAAGGAAGAAATTTACAAAGAGAGTAATACCTTAAAAAAATATTTTTAAAAATGAAAAGAAAAAAAAATGTAGCAGAACTCATAGACCTGAAAGTTTCACTCAATGAATTAAAAAGCACAACCAATAGCTTAGGCAGCAGGCTAGAACAAACAGAAGAAAGAATTTCTGATCTTGAAGATAGTCTTTTTGAAATACTCCCAGTGGACAAAAGAAAAAGGAAAAAATAATTTTTAAAAATGAAGAAACTCTAAGGGAGCTGGCAGAGAATCTTAAGTGAACAAACATTGGAGTCATGGGTGTTCCAGAGGGGAGGAGAAAGGAAAAGTCATGGAAAACCCATTTAATGAAATAATAACAGGGAACTTCCCAGGTATAAGGAGAGACATGGACCTTCAGATCCAGGAGGCTCAAAGATCCCCAAACAGATTCAACCCAAAAAGATCCTCTCCAAGACACATTATGGTCATGCTGGCAAAGCTCAAAGACAAAGAGAGAATCTTTAAAAAAGCAAGAGAAAAGTATAATCACCTATAAGGGAGCCCCTATCAGACTAACAGCAGACTTCTCAACAGAAACTCTACAGGCCAGAAGAAAATGGGATGATATATCCAAAGTACTAAAAGAAAAAAAACTGCCAACTAAGAATACTATATCCAGCAAGGCTATCCTTCAGAAATGAGGGGGAAATAGTCTATTTTCCAGACAGACACATACTGTGGGAGTTTGCCACCACATGACCAGCTGTACAAGAAATCCTTAAGAAAGTTGTATGTCTGGAATCTGGAAAATGTTAACCACTACCATGAATACACATGAAAGAATAAAACTCACTGGTAGAACCAAAATGCAAATGAGAAAGAGAAAGAAACTAAATCTTACCACCACAGAAAAACTATAATGACAATATAATAATGCCTCTGCTTTATTTCTGATTTTAGTAATTTCAGTCTTCTCTTTTTTTTTTCTTGGTCAGTTTAGATAAAAGTTTGCAAATTTTGTTGATCTTTTCAAAGATTCAACTTTTGGTTTTGTTGATTATCTCTATTGTTTTTTAATTCCCTATTTCATATATTTCTGTTGTAATCTGTTATTTCTTATATTTGCTTTTGGTTTAGTTTGTTCTTTTTCTATTCTCTTAAGGTAGAAGTTTATATTACTGATTTGTGATTTTTCTTATTTTTAATATAGGTGTTTGCAAGTATAAATGTTTCTCTAAGTGCTGCATGAGCCCTGCCTCCTATAAGTTTTGATATGTTGCACTTTGATTTTTTTCTGTCAAAGTATTCTCCAATTTCCCTATGATTATTCTTTTTACCCATTGTTTATTTAGGAGAGTGCTATTTAATTTCTTTCTACACATGTGTGAATTTTCTAAATTTCCTTCTGTTAATTTGGTCAGAGAACATATTTTCTGTGATCTTAGTCTTTTTAAATGTATTAAGACTTGTTTTGTGACCAAAAATAAATGTGTGTGTGTGTGTGTGTGTCTGAGTGGACTGGATGGAAAAGACCCACCCTCAATGTGGGTGGGAACCATCCAATCTGCTGGGGGTCCATAGAGAACAAAAGACAGGAAAGAGGTGAAACTCTCTCTCAATTTGCTGGAGCTGGGATATACTCTTCTCTCCTGTCTGTGGACATCAGAGCTCAAGACTCTTCAGCTTTTGGGTTCCAGGACTTACACCAAGGACACCATCATCTTCCCTAGTTTTGAGGCCTTTGGACTTGGGCTGAGCCACGCTACAAACATCCAATTTAGAGATGGCCTATAGTGGGACTTTTTTTCATAGTCGTGTGAGCTAATTCCCCTAATAAATCCCTCTCATATAATTATAACATATCCTTTTGATTCTGTCTCTCTGGAGAATCCTGACTAATACAGATTTTGGTACCAGGAGTGGGGTTTTCCATGTATGAGAGCACCAGCTATTCTGAGGGAAACTTCAGAGGGAACATGCTACTAGATGGTTTGATTAGTCTTTTGCCCTTATACTCAGGTCAGATGACTGATTTGCACTTCAGGACCACTACAGACCTTCACCAGAGTTTCCTCTGGCTTTGCCCTGCCCAGGCATAGTTCACCATCTTTCAGGTCCTAACACATGCACTTGTGCACCACCTCCTTGGCGTG